TATTTATAGGTATTTTGAGGTGGCTGGGTCTGATACCCGACCAGGTATATAGTGTACCCGATCGGGGTACCCTAGGTAATCGGAAGTTGCTCAAATCACATCCAACCCGACCGGGTTGAGAACCAACCCGACCGGGTTGGGAACAAAATCATGATCTTTTTATCTTCAACATGTTGCTATGTTCGATGTCAACTCCAACCCGACCGGGTGGAGTACCAACCCGACCGGGTTAAGTATCAAATCGTATATTTCCAATGCTCTCTTGATCTTCGTCACGTTCCATTGTCCATGTTAACTCAACCCGACCGGGTTTCGGTGCGTAGCTTCCTCTTGGCTTCATATGTCACTTGCAACCCGACCGGGTTATATTCCAACCCGATAGGATTTCATACCAGGATTTATTTTCATGTATCTTCTTGCCTTCCTTTGGTACCTGTAATACTCCTTTGCACCCCTCATGGTACTTACAACAAAATACACACTAAAAATACAAATTACAACCTACAAAATAAATCTAAAGAGTACATCAAAAACTAAACTAAAAAATTAAAAACAATAATCAAACAATACTAAAACAACAAACTTATGCACTAGGAAATAGTGCATATCAGAATGCTAGTAGAACATTAAAGACATTAACAAAGCCAAAACAACTTAAGAACAAATGGTATATTTAAAACCTATTCGAAGCTTCCTTTTAGATATTTCTCCTCTAATTTGCCATATAATTTTAGCAAAGAATACACAAAAAATAGAAAATAAAAGCATAAAGATCAGTTATATGTTAACATGTTCTCAATTTCTGATCATTAACATCAAAGAGCTGACCGATATGTTTAGGGATAAAGAGCTCAGTGCTAAACTTGTATGTTACAGACTAATGAGTCATGAGTTCATTATATTTCATAGGAAGGCTAAAGACCTAAAGTTTAATTTATAAAACTGCTCAAGTATTTATTTAAATAGTTAAGTTCAACTATCATGCTCAAATGATGTCCTATTATTTTCAATTACTTTTAAAGCATATACTTTATCAGAGCTCACCCAAAAGTCCTCACAAGTCACATCAGCTAACAAGACCTCATCACTGATATGTTCTTCCCAAAGTGGTTCAGCCAGAGTTCTGCAAGCTTCACCTTTCTTATCGGTTTCATAATGCTTCAATATAAACAATTTCTTTAGTGAACGAAACCTCATATAAACAACAAATTAAAGTGCTTCATCTTTAGTACATTTACATTTCAGACGCTCTTTGGTTAGTGCAAGAATCTCATCCTTGTCCACCTTTTACTTCAACATAGACACTGCCATCCAGGAGAAAACACACAACACATGTCAAGTAAAGATTAAAACTGCACCAACCTTACAAATATATGCAAAAAATGAATGCTTTGTTCAACAATATATTGAAAGGTCAACCACTAGGAACACTTCTTTATATTATGCACTTGTAACTTATGACTGGGTTCAGATTTTAGAACTAAAAAAGAAGTATATAAAGCATTGTTGAGTCACCAAACTTGTAAGCTGAAAGAGCCCGAGCATATAGATTACCATAGGTATTTGGAAAACCTGGAATACTTTCACTACCATCACCCGTTCTTGACTAATACAGTGACTTTTCATTGCATATTTTAGAAGCTATGGAGTCATTCTCTCGACATCCTCCTATTTTTGAAGTCATACAAACTGATTATACATTAAAATTCACACATGAATACACTTCTAAGACAAATATGTTATTAAAAAACTTGAATTAAATTTTCTTAGTATATTCTTGCCTATTACTTTCTTCATTAGATCGTTTCAAAGGCCCACCACCCCGGTTTATGAATTGATACATAGACATATATAACCTAAAAATTATAAAATCACATCATAGTTACAACCATAAAACTACAGTCATTAAGTAAAAATCTAAGAGATTGTCAATTTTAGTTATCACATATTTACTCATTAATAATTTGTATTAAAAGAACCAACTTTTCAATAAACAAGTAAACTTAAACTTAAACAATAAAATGATTAAAGAACTAAACAAAGAATGGAGTTAAAAAGAACGGTAGGCTGCATCACTGTAGGTCAAACCCTAAATAATCAAATAAACGAAATTTTCAAAATACCACACAACTAAACAAGTAAACTAGCATCCTACTGCTTGCATGCCGAAAATTTGAAAAATTAAAAAAATAAACTTAGCTGGCAGGGGCATGTAGCATATGGCCGAACCCAGAAGCTGAGAAATGCAGAGTAAAATGGTTTTAACTTTCGATACTTGAGCAGTTGGTCTAAAGCTGAAATTAAGTATAGCTCCATTGTTTCAATGTGCAAGCATGCGTTAGCCTTTACAATTATCAATTTATATGTTGAGAGCTTTAACTAACAAAAAACCTTGTTAATGAAGGCATATATTATTCATAAGCATAACTAAGTAAATACAACTATAAGCAGACTTCTCTAGTTACAAAAAAATAATCACGTCATATTTATAAGGTAATTAAGCGGACGACTTTGATATTCTCCAATGGTGGAAGAGCCACGAAGGGATGTTTCCAGTTTTATCAAAAATGGCCAAACAAGTGTTGTTGAAGCCGGTTTCAACAGTTGCCGTGGAACAATAGTTTAACGAAGTCGGTAACGTTTTGACTGACTATAGAACGAGGTTGAGCACTTCATCTCTTGAGACACTCGTTTGCTTCTATGATTGGTTGAAGGTCCGCCGTAGAACACAAGAAGTCAACATAGCGTTGGACCACCGTTTTATGGAGGAAACAACAACTGACGTCGGAAGCGAATCCAACAAATAGTTCATGTTTTGCAATTTTCAACTTTAAACTACTCTCAATTATAATTTTCAAATATGATATTGATACAAGTGACAATGTAGTGTTTAAAATAAATATACATCATTTATTTATGGGAAAATAATTAAAATACCTCAAACTTTGAAGAGGTGTGAGGTAAGCACTCCAAACTTGCATATGTAATTTAAATATCCAAATCTTTATATAAAAAGTTATTTTAGCACTACGGCCATGTATTATTTCTTTCAAAAATATTAATTTTTTGTGTTAATTTCATAATTAAAAGTATTTTAGCATTCATGAAGATATAATTAATATTCTAAATTTCCATTGTAAAAAAATAGTATTACCTCTCACTCTATATAATTGCAACATTTTCAACTTGCTATTTTAAATTATGCAATGAACACCACAAATTTACATTTTTGAAATAAATAATACATGATCATGGTATTAAAATAATTTTTTATATAAAGTTTGAAGTATTTAAATTACATATGAAAGTTTGAGATAATTATCTCACACCTATTCAACGTTTGAGATATTTTAATTATTTTACTTTTTTTTATTGTACAATAATTTAAAAAAAAATAAAAGACCGGACCGCCCGGAACCGGATCGGAACCGGCCGGGTAGATCTGACCGGAACAGGGTCCATCTCTAGTCTAAGTTTTCAAACGCCCCTGCTCCGCGCGCCATCAAAGTTGCTATGCGCACTATTTTTTTAACAAAGTTGGACAACTATGTCCTTACTCACGTAGTTAGGTTGCTAGGCGCACCCAGCTACCTTTCTCTATAAAATCGGTATCATCATATACCTATTTAGGAAGCATCTCCATTATTGCTTCCTTATTGCTTCTACGTAATCATTTGAAGCATCTCCCTGAATGGTACGTAATTAAGTTGCGAGCCTTATTGCTTCTTTGGAATAAAATTAAGTTTTAATACGAGTATATCCTAAAATATTTTGTAACATGCTTCTAAAAAATAGGGAAAAATAATAAAAAAACATTCTTAAATTTGAAGGGGTGTGAGGTAAACACCTAAAATTTGAATATGTAATTAAAATACCCCAAACTTTATACTCCCTCCGTTCCCAAATAAACTTCCAACTTTCCCTTTTCATCCGTTCCAATTAAAACTTCCACTTTCCCTTTTTGTTAAAGAATTTGTGGTTCACAACATTTCTTACACATTTCTCTCTCCTCTGCACAATTCTCCACCACACAATATCCACTATCTTAAACTTTGTGCCAAACCCATTTGGAAGTTAAAATGGGAACGGAGGTAGTATAAAAAGTTATTTTTGCACCATTGTCATGCATTATTTCTTTCAAAAATGTAAATTTATGGTGTTAATTACATAATTTAAAACAGAAAATTAAAAATATTGCAATTATATATATTGGGGGTAACATTATTTATTTCACAATGGAAGTTTAGAGTGTGAATTTCGTCTTCATGAAACGAAGGGAACGGCCAAACAAAAAAATCAACCACTCGAGACCCAAGGGAGTACACGGAGAAAAAATACAAAAAATCCAAGGGTACAATATCATATCATGGTTCTCGTGGATGTGGCAAGGATATTAAAGAGAAATCTTACAGACATCAAAATCGAAAGCAATTTAATTTCGGTACTGATATTGAGACATTCATGCTTGAGCATAGTAGTAAAGTTGTGGACGTTATTGGAGATGGACATTGCAGATATCACTCACTTGCAGAGCTTTTAGGATGGGGAGAAAAAAAATGGGTTAGATTCAAAGGGAGTTAGTGGAAGAACTAGATCGTCATCGTGGGCTGTATGATCCTATATGCCTTCTTGACACTATTGATGACTTGCGGGAGCAAATAGACTACTACATCAGTCCCGCACCACCCCGTCATTGGATACACATGTCGCACACAGGGTTGATCTTTGCATCTTTATACCAAGTTATTTTAGTGAATGTACATTTTTCGACCGTTCACGAGACTTGATTATATTTTTTTTTAAATTACATATATAATCTTGGTGACAAATGAAAGATCATAAAAAGATATTTAATTTGGTATAATTTTTATAAAAATTGGAGCAAAAATGAAAAAGTTATGACATTTTATAAAAAAAGGGATTGCTTGTCACATGGCATCATTCTATTGGATGCATACTTAATGTAAAAATGATATGGAGGAGCCTAGCATGGAACTGGAGGTGCGCAAAGAAATTTTATTTATGTTTTAATTATACTTAATTTTAATTGATAATTAAGAAGGCCAAATTTGTCCACCCAAGATTAGATTAAGCAATTTTGGGGGTGCACGTAGAACACCCTTTTCAAATCACCGTAAAAACATGAAGTTTTATATGATCCATCTCTAGTTTATTCGTTTCATCACTTTCATGAATGGTGTTAGGAGGAATCGCTAAGGAACAATCTTGCAAGCCTTGGCCCTACTGATCCAAGAAACCAGAGACTTTTTGGTGTTTCTAAATCCCAGAAACCCATGCTCCTTGCTCTTGTTCATATTATCCAACGGACCACAGACGCTGAAGCATACATCCACAAGCCACCACTGACCAATCTCCTCCAGCTTCGTCTCCAACAACCCGTTTTCCCTAACAATCTCGTCCCAAACACGCCCTTTCCCCTCCATCATCTCCTCCAACTTCATCCCCGGCCCGGCATCCTCAAATTCCGGGACCTCCAACCCGAACTGCTCCGCGATCACCCCCCACAGCTGCTTCCACCTGAACACATCTCCATTGCTCACATTGAAAGCTTCGTTCTTGGCAGCGGGCTCCACCGCGGCCCAGATCTCCTGCTCCGCGATCAGATCCGCATCCGACCCGTTTGTGTACCCTTCCCAGCACGCTTTCACCCCGGGGAATCTGAATCTCAGCCCCTCGCGCTTACATATGGCCGCGTACGCACAGAGCGAGCCCACCGTGTTCATCATGCTGCTCGGGGAGAACCCGAATATCAATCCGGGTCGGTGCACGGACCACGTCAGACCCGGTTTCTTCCCCACCTCTTCCCACAGGATGTCCTCGAGGGTGTAGTAGAAGTTCGGTACGCCCAGCCGCGGGAGATCCTCGTGGAAGGGCATTTCGTGGGCTCCTTTCCCGAACGACTCGAACGGGCCGAAGTAATGTTTCAGGCCCGTTTGTAAGCAGATGTGGGTCAGGCCCGGGCAGCTGGGGATGACGGCATTCAGAACGTTGCTGAACATCTTCCCGTTTGCCTCGCAGTTTTCCAGCTCCGTGGGCCGGCTGGCCCATGTCACATAGAAGACGTGCGTGACGTCGGTCAGAACGGTCAGCTTGGATTGGGCAGCTTCTGGGTCAGTAATGTCGCACTGAACGAACTCGATTGGGGGGCGGTGGTCGGTGGTGTTCCAGGCCCGGAATGGACGGCGAGCGACGCCGTATACCTTCCAAGGGCCACCGGGTGTGGCGGCGAGAGGGAGGGTTTCGGCGAGGCTTGCTCCAACAATGCCGGTGACGCCGACGATCAGAGCCACGTTCTGGTGCTTGGGTGGGGCACCTACGTCTGCATCATCTTCTCCCCACATTTAGTATTTATTTTTTAATTATTATTATATCCGAAAGAATTATGATATGATAAAGAAATAAGTGTGTTGGGTCTTCATGAGAGTTCTTTTCTTATACTCAACAGAACAGAGTGGTATCTGAGAAGACGATGAGTTGGCAACTTGGCATAGGAGGAAAATACATTTACGTCCCTGAGTTTATAGGTACAGAACAAACGGCTACCACAGATTTAGCAGTGTGTACAACAACAGGTGGCCAAGACTAACCACAACCCTTTCCGTCAATAAATCAAATATTCCTCCACTTTATACGTATTTATTCAGTCAATTCAGTTTTTCTCTTCAATCCAGCACCGTCAATATATTCACTCAATAAACTTTTTTAGTTAAATCTTTACTTTTTTTTATTATACATTTATTTTTTCCAAATTTCTTTTTACGAATAATTATAATTTAAAGAGTCAAACATTCCGATGTAAAAATAAATAAATTTGGAGTGTAATTTTTTTATTGTTACTTGAAACTTATTTTTGAAAAAATTAACAGAGATGTAACAAAAAAAAGTAATCATGAGATCTTAATTTGGACATTTTGATCTATTTAACAAAAAAATTGAGCCTAAAAATCTTCGACAGATAAAATATCACATTTTTATTTGTAATTTTTACATATTCAATATTGGTGTCATATGAAAGTATAAAAAAACTATAAAATTTGATATTTTTTTTGTAAAAATTTGAATTCACATAAAAAAGTTATACAACATTTATAAAATTTGGGATTTATTAACTTGTGAGTCCATCCTCATTTTCTTGCATGCGTATGGTGCAAAGAGAGATCATTCTTCTCTCTCCAGGGTGGATAGGGTATTAAATCCCCACTCCAAAAGAGCTCCCAATCCACTTTAGCACCTTCCAATACATTTTTGGGATAGGGTTGTAGCACATTTAGGGGTGAATACCTCAAATTTGGGATTTCCACCCCATGGATTGCCATCAGCCTAATCAGACTTTGAATCCATCTCTGCTAATGTGATTTCAACTTCTTGTCATTATTAAAATGAAATTATTAAACTGATTTTGTGAGTTTTGTCTGTTTATGCTGATGGAAGACAAAGCAATCTTTATTTTTTGGGAGAAGTCCTCGACCAAAGCATATCTTTTTTTTGTAGTAGTCCTCCTTCGAGCTTAAGGTCGTTGTTGATGGAGAATTAATAAGTTTCGATTTTATGAGTTTTGTCTAAGTTACCCCAAAATGTATCTCTTTTTTACCTCACTCCCTAATGTGTGGCTATAAATGAGACAATTCATCTAAGTGGTATCTCACTTAAATGAATTATCTCATTTATGGTCACACATTAGAGGTTGAAGAAAAAATGGGATACATTTTAGGGTACCTATAGCATTTGTGTGATTTTATTTATGTTACAATGGCATAACAAGATAAACACATGCACTTGTGGTAAGTGGTCTACTTCACAATAAGTTATAAGGTAGACTTGCAACTAAATTTAAGGCTCACAAAAACAAACAGAGGCTCACATGCATATAAACAACATAAGTTTGTTTAATGTTTTTCCTTCTTTATATGAACAAATTACTTATATGAGATGATAACAATCACATAACATGAAAACCTGGGGCGGAGCAAGGGCACTGGTCTGGATTGGGTCGGTACAAAAAATATTTCTGAAAAAAAAATTACACAGAACTTTTTATACTAAAAACGTAGACATTTTTTAAATTTGCGCTGGATTGAGGCCAGGGTTGGCCCCTCCCTAACTACGCCCTAATAAAATGACTAGATCTTCTGTAATTTTTGACACGAGGTATATATAGATTGTTACCATATTTTTATAGATTTTCTAGTATATGTGAGTATCATAATGATGATATTGACCAATCAGCTGGTTACTCAGCTCCATAGTTGTTCACATAAGGCGTTTTCGATTCCTTTATAAACCAAGAGTGTTCAATTTTTTCTTTTGTGGAAATCAATTAACCCATAGCTATATGTATGTGCTAATTACACATCAGTTAATTGACTTTGTAGCCAAAATGAATTAATCAATTTTATGTATGAGTGCTAAATAGTCTTTCTCGTCTGAATAACACATTTTAGGATGAAATATAAAAACCTAAATTCATCTCTTTTGAAGCTAATTCTGTATGTGTGTCATTAAAATTTACATTCTTTTATTTCTTTTCTGAATATGTAAATTATATTTCATAAAAGTAATCTAATTACAGGCAGAGATCAATTAACGTTATGGTCAGTCGAACATCGTCAACCGCGTGAGAACCTTTCTATGGGATGAAGAAAGTACAACACAATGAAACCGATACTCTTCATACTATGTGGTAAGCACAATACTATGAATGAAGTAATAATTATAACATAGCAACTAATGGCAGGGAAATACCTTTTAATAATACTAAGTTCTATTACAGTAACCCAATTCAAAGGTACTACTCTTACAACCATTCCATAATTTAAAATACACCAATTCAGTATTAATTGTATGCTCAAATACTCTTACTTGGATGAAACACATACATTGATTATAATGATTTCATTCTAACTGGTTTTCTGATTCTCCTTCAATCTCACCCCTAAGTTTGATAAAAAAAGGAAATGAGAGAAATAAAGATAAATTAATGGACTCAATCTTATACGTAGTATATGTTGGGTGTGTTTCGGAAAATAAAGGAAATTAATTAAAATTAATTAATTAAATAAAATGACTAGAGAAAAACAAGAAAGGAGATGAAGCAGAATTAGTCAAAGCGCGTGCAACGCACGATGTCCTTAAAACGTATTTGTTGCCTCCCACGGTGCTAGGAGCATTGTAACAATCGTTTCCCAGGATACGATGACTATGAACTAATGTTTCAGCACACAAACAAGAGTTCCAGCGAACGAGAATCAAGTATCAACACAGAAGGAATTTGCAGAGTAGCTGGAAGTGTTTTTAGCTCAAGTAAACGTGAGGAATGTATTGTGTTGTGTCAAACCGTGTGTTTGTTGCAAAGCATCTGCCAGCCTTTTATAGGAGGATTTGTTGTGTGTTAAATGGGGTGTTAATGGACCTGAACGTTGGACATCAATGACCAGTCCGTTGGGCATTGAATCATCCATAAACTGTCCATTTAACGCTGTATTAAAAGACAAGAACGTTGGGCATTTAATGGCTTGGAGCAGTTCTGGTGCGCGATCAGAATACCCCCATCAGAGTTGGAGCAACTCTGATGCTACCAGAATACCTCCACCAGAGGAGGAGCAACTCTGATGCGATTACAATCTCGAGTTTTAAATCTCGAGATTACAATCTCGAGGTTTAAATCTCGAGATTACAATCTCGAGTTTAAATCTCGAGATTACACTCTCGAGGTTTAAATCTCGAGATTACAATCTCGAGGTTTAAATCTCGAGATTACAATCTCGAGGTTTAAATCTCGAGATCTTAATCTCGAGTTTGCCTCGAAGAATAATGACGAAATCCACCTGCAAAACAAACCTCAGAATATCGAAATCTGCAGAATTTCAAAATGTTTGGAACATCAAAAACTTTGGAGTTTCAAAAACATTAGGAAATCAAAAACTTGCTGTTTGAAAAACATCAGAACATTGAAAACTTCTAAAAACTTCTAAAAATGTAAAGCTTCGAAGTGTTCTGAACAGGAAAGATATCAAGTTTAGAAGAAATCAGTGATTCAAGAAACTCCAAACTTTGAAAAATTCAAAACATCGAGAAATTTTGAAAATCTCGAAATCTTCAGAATGTCGAGATCCCAAATGTCGAAATCCCAAAACTCAAAATTCCAAAACTCGAGGTTTCAAAACTCGAGATTTCAAAAACTCGAGGTTTCAAAAGTCGAGATGTCAAAACTCGAGATGTCAAAACTCGAGATGTCAAAACTCGAGATTTCAAAAGTCGAGATGAAGAAATCGAGTCCCTAAATGTCGAGATCCTGCAAAAAGAAAACTTCGATTTTTTAAAATCTGAAACCTGTTCTGAAAAGCCCTGAAGGTCGAGATTCTCCTGTATCAGTTTCAAGTCAAAAACGTTTCTACAGCAGTGAAAAATAAGGATTTCGAGATCTCAATGTAGAGATCTTCGAAAAAAATTTGCAGAAAACGAAAAATAAGGTATGCTGCTGGATCGGTTTTGAAAGGCGAGCCCAACAGTATGATTTTTACAAAGTTTCGTTCACAAACAACATTACAGGAGCAAATCTCTACACCAAAGAAAAACAGAAGAAAAGCAGAGCAGTTATTCGTTAGATCCAAAAATCGCAGATAGATTCAACCTGTTTCACGCCTCGGCTCTGATACCAATTGATAATCCCAGAATTTAACAATCAAACAACCATAACAGTTAAAGAAGAAGCAGATAGAAAGATATCGACAAGATTAAAACCAAATCTGGTATACCATATGAAACCCCGCTGCTCTCCCTGGAGAAGGAGAGCAGCGGAAACCCTTCTCTCTATCTTGCCTCTACGCACTCTAAGCCTCTTTGGATCGTTGGGGTTCCCGTAAGTTAGCCTCCTTTTATAGGAGAAGTTGGCTAACTTACGGGTTTCAAGGAAGCCCCCGGGCTGATACACATTTGTGGCACGTATTACACGTTTAATTGATAACTACACAAATACAAAGATAACTAACTAGATTGAACACCATAAAATATTCCCAACAAATGTGCTCCATGTTAATTAATCTACGTATAGCATTAAAATTAACATGTCCTAGTCTACCATGCCACACATTAGAAAACTCAAGCAAGTAAGCAGAAGGGGTTTTATTATTATTAATTTTAATAGTCATTACATTGAGCTTAAAAAGCCCATCACATGTATATCCCTTGCCCACATACATTCCCGATTTAGACAAAACCAGTTTGTCCGATTCAAAAAGCATGCGGAAGCCATGCTTGTTCAACAACGAGCCGGAAATCAGGTTTTTGCGTATCTCCGGAACGAACAACACTTGGTTTAGAGTCAGCTCCTTGCCCAAAGTCATCTTCAGGACCACCTTGCCCACGCCTTCAACCGCGGAATGAGCCGAGTTACCCATCCACACTTTCTCACCATTTGATGGTTCAAAAGTTGTGAATAACTCCCGGTTTGAGCAAATATGTCGGGTTGCGCCGGTGTCCACAAACCACTCCTTGGAATTGGATCCAACGAGGTTGACTTCCATAACCACATCCGCTAGGATGATGTCTTCATCCTTTTTCCCACCTTGCACCAAGTTGACTTGGGAGTCTTTCTTCTTCCGTGGTGCCTTGCAATCCGAGGACTTGTGTCCATTCTTGTTGCAATTGAAGCATTTTCCATTAAACTTTGTCTTGGAAATGTC